TGCTGAGCTGTTTTGACTGATCTGGATTTTTGCATGTTCATGTGTTCCTGAGTCAACGGTCAACTATGATGCCATGACCAAAGCAAAGACAGCGCATAGAGCAACTCCCATGTACTCAACAAATTGTATCTATGAACTTAGTTGTACTTTCTATTCTGTACACACCACATTTTCCTTGAATTACATGCTTGCAACAGTTGCATGGGAGATTGTGATATGCGTAGTTTCAATCCCGTTGCAACCAGCATATGTTCGGCAACACTGACATGATGCATATGGGCCAGGAGCTGGCCATGTATCTCGAAAATGGCTGCGGAGAGTGGAGATGTTGCACGGGTCTAGAAACAGCGCGACCCAAGTGCTACACCACAGGCCTCAAAAAATAGCCTTTGCTGCCAAAGAAATTGGTTTTCCCTATTCTGATAGATTCTGAAGTGACAAAGCCAGGTCGTGTTGGTTTTATGTCCAACACCATTTGATTTCTCAGAGTGTTGTTCTGCATCTTGAAACCCCACGGTAGCTGTGCCTTGATTTATCGCAGGGCGATTCGCCTCAAGCGGGACCTGGGCTATGTCGAGCTCAGGCGAGGGAAACCCACTGTTCGTCAAGCAGAGTTTGCACGTGAGGGTCGGACAAAATGTCTATTAATATGTCTACAATATGGAATGGACATGGAGTGACTCGTTTATTTGGCCCCACAACGACCAGGAGGTGATCCATTCAATATTGGGAAGCAGAATTTGACATAATTTGACTACGGATCATGTGACCGATCAGTGAAGTGCAGCAGTTGAAAACTGAAACAAAACCAGCCGGAAATGATTTTGAATTTTCAACACATGCTTGTTTGTACATGATATGTTCAGGGGCACGAGACTAGACTTGAACTGACAACAGCGTGGGAGCGTTGTTTTGAGCTGAAGTTGTTTGTCTTCACTGTTTTCTGTGCAAAACAATGGGCAGTACAATTGCAAGTGCTATGTGTTCACTGCTGTCACTGTCACTGGCTTCAAAGCAGTCACGACCCTCGACTGACACCCATTGTTTCAATGCTGGCTTGTATTTCAGGGAGGTTGGTTGGACCATGGTTTCAACATGTTGAAAGGCCCAATCCCTACAAAACCGAACTCAAGAAGGGTTTTAGATCAGAGGCAACGAAGGCCAGGGTGCCTCAGGCACTGACACTGGCTGGCTGGTTTGACGCTGGTTTGACGCTGGTTTGACGCTGGCTGGTTTGTTTGTTGTTGGTTTGCTGGTTCGCTCGCTTGCTCGCTCGCTTGCTTCTTTCTTTGTTCGGCTTGTTTGGTTTGACACATCCAGAATCATGTAGGAGTGCTGGGGGTTGTTAAGAGTAAGAGCCCCTGGGTAGGTTGCACCGACCCACGCCACAAACCTTCGACACCCGTGGTCCTCTTTCTTGATCTGGTTCCTTCCATGCGCTTAAGCATATTTCTTAGGTTCCCTTTTGGGTTTTGAAGCAGATCTATCGCTACTGGACAGAAACGGGGGGGTTGGTCGCTCCATTTCCCGAGGCCTTGATCCACGGTCAAGGATCCACTGGCGAGGGCTTGAATTCAAACTCGGCGCGCTTTCGGAGTCGCGGAGGTCAAAGTTGTGGCCGGACCCCATTGGTTCCACCAACATGGTCGTGAGGGAGCATATGATCTTACCACAGTCCTAAACCAGGCATTTGAATCATACTAAAATGGCTTACAGCTTTCTTTTTGGCGCTGCCCAGATTGAGTTCGCAGTGTTTCTTCATTCGAACTGCCAGCCTGTCCAAATCCGAATCTTGCGTTCGGTCCTCCCAGTTTTCTCCACACCTGAACAGTCAGCGGAAGTGGGAAGTTCGGCTTGAAGGGCGATCAGGTGACAGAGGTTGATTGTGATTCCTGGCATGCGGGTTTGTCTCTCAATAGGGATTCGAACCCCAAAAACTGGCAGGGAGTTCCTTTTGGTTCAGTTAAACTAACCAGCCACAAAGAAAGCCCCCCCCCCCCCCCAAATGGCAAGGGGTTGTTGTTTGGTTCTCTTTCCCGAAAAGACGGGACCCGAACAAAAAGACGCGGCCCTGGTTGTTTTTTTGGGCTGTGCTTGCAGGGCCGTTGGCCGACTCCCGTGCGGCTACGCCAGGCTCAGGCGCAGTGGGTTTGCGGGCGTGCGACTTGTTGGAAGCACCGGTGGCCGTGGGATTTTTATCCTTGACTTATCCTTCATGTTGTGTTCCATTTTGAAGATGTTCTTGGAGTTTCCTTTTGATTTAGTTTGTGAATGTTGTAGGCAAAGCATGAAGCAGGATCGGAGTTCTCGAGATCTTGGCCTTGAGTTCTCATTCATTTATTTTCAATATTTTATTTGTAGACTGAGTATGAAGCAGAAGCGGAACTCCCCAGAGTTGGCCCAAGGTGTCCCCCAGATGATTACTTGTTTATAGCACAATCTCGTGCTTTATCCCTTTAGCCTTTTTCTGAGCTATCCTTCAATTGTTGTATCGATTTTGTTGGAGACTGAGTATGAAGCAGAATCTGAAGATATGAGTTGCACAGTTCCCCAGGTGCCCAAGTCGCAGGTGCTTCCCCTGCGTCCATTGAGATCGTGTTGGCGGACATCACTTGAAAGAGACAGGGTTGTCTTTTTTGGTACCCTCTTTGGGATGGTTTTACATGGACATCAGCAATTATTCTTTTCAGATCATTTCTCCCAGCCTTGGGAGTGCGAGTTTGAGGGTGTCACTTGAACTGGCCCAGTTCACAAAAGAGAGCCAACAGAACCATGTTGTTCCCATTGCCCTCAGCCATCCGGTACTAAAAGTTGGACTTTCAGCAGGGGATTTGAGGACAGCCCTGTTCCGGGAATGGTTCGGGGTTGCCACTAAGTTCGGGTCCCCCCAAAATTGGAGGGTCCCCGGCCCTGAAAGCCATGGCTAAAGGGTCTCTTGTCCCTTTGGCATTTTTTCTGATTGAAATTTGCAGCGGTGGCTCTGCGCTCTCGAACCAAAAAAGCAGCCCAAAGAGAAGGATTGCTCCTAAGGTTGAGCCCCTATTTATCAACCCCAGTTTATTTCCCTGGGTTTAGTGGGGAATCAGACCGCTTTTGGAGGGCAACGTTCCCCCATAACAACGACAAACTGGGGTTGATAAACAGGGGGTCGACAGTACCTTCCTAGGCTCCGGATCGATGGATTCGATGGATTTCTCCATCTGGACCCAGTCGACCCTTTTGGAGGGTTACATAGGCCCGTGACCAGATTGCTGAAGGTTCACATCTTCAAACGAAGCTGAGCTTGTCCCCGAGTGGACTCAGCATTGGTAGCATATTGCAGATACAGTAGGTTATGACATATATTGTAAACGCTTCGCGTTGCCCGCCTCGGCCAGTCCGCTCTTGGCTGGCTTTGAGGTATACACCGTGCTTTAGTTTACCTTAAAGTCTTGTGTGTATTAAACTAAGTGAGTCGGCGCATGTCTGTGTTTTTCCACATGTCTTCAAGAGCCAGAACAAGAGCGAAATGACTGGTTGGGGTGGAAATTTGCCGACCGGAGTCGGGAGAATTTGACCGGGATTTGGCCGGAGTTGGGCCGGTCTTTAGAGGGGATTTGACTGGTCTACACACCGGTTTGTAGGGGTGATGTGACTGGTTTCTTGACCGGTTTCTACGGTTTGTGAAGGGGACTTGATCACATTCTAGAGGGAATTTGACCGGTTTTAAGGAGGATTTTGCCAGTTGCTAGCGGGCTTTGAGCGGAGTTGGATTTGGGGGGGGATCTGACCGCTTCACGGCCCTGGGGCTTCGAGGCTCACTGGAGGCAGCTGGAGCAGGGATTTTGGTCGGGGCTTTGGACTTGGTTGGTTTGCAGGGCCGAGGCGAATTATTGTACATATAGAGAAACATGTTACTGAACATTAGCACATGCTTCGTGAGCGACTACGTATATCCAGACCGAATCTACGGCCCAAATTCGGGTCCGGCCAACTCCAGGTCGCGGAAGTCGCGCGCCGTCGCGCTCCAACTCGTGGCCCGGTATTTCATCGCGAGACAAGTTGCGCCTGGGTTTCCTCCATTTTCGTCGATGAAACTGGCAGGGTTTCCTCCAGTTCCCTTTTTGGAACCTCCAAAGGTTGCTCTCTTTTTTGTTTGGAAACCGCCAAGAAACTGATCTTTGGGCAAATGAGAGTGGGTCAAAAGGTCCGACGAACGTGGGAATGACAATGGGAAGAATTATGCATGGTTATTTTCTGGCAAGGAGTATTGACCAACCCCCAAACCTATGGTCAGCATTCGGCCCCCTCGGTTTTGCCCGACCAAGGTTTGCAGGCGTCGGCCGGTCCATCTGCCAGACCCAAAGGGAGCCCGCGAGCAGAAAATCGGCAGCTGCTCGCGCGGGTTTTCGTAGGAGAACTCGAAGGAAATCGGCGAAATCTCGGGATTGCGGCTGGGGAAATCGGTGAAAATTGGTGCAGATTCTTAAGACAGTGTTGCTGATCAAAGCTGGGAAAGCGGAAAGCCATGTTTCCGCCATCAGCCCAAATGTACAGAGGCATTTGATCCCTAAGCCCAAGTCTTTCTGAAGGCCACTGAGGGCCTTTCAGTCCAACCTGTCAGTGAGGTCCAAAATTAGATTTCTTGACTTATTCTGGTGTACAGTACCCCCGAACTGCAGTTCTAATTGTTTGGCTCCTTGCATTAACCCAATCCAATCGCGGTCTGATGGATATCTTTCGGCATCAATCGGTCGTGGCACGCAGAATTGATCCTTTGACCCTCGGAATGCATCCAGAGGCACCCTGTATTCTCAGCCAAATGGGAACGGGGTGTGTCCTGAAATCCGGACCTGACAAATGATGGCTGAACTCATGGCCGATCTTTGGTGTGACCGAAAAAGGCCCTTAGTTTTCGTTTGGAAACTCAATTTGACTTGCTCATTAAACCTACAAAATTGGTTAGACGCTTCGACCTTTTGCTCGGGGAAGAGCAACCCCAGATCGGCTCGTCGCCTGAGGCCTGCTTGAATCGACTGGGCGTCGCCCACGCCTCGGAGATCGGAGATGAGCACATGGCAAGTTTGCAGCGCCCTTTTTGAACCGGGGGTCCTTGTATTTGCCTTTTTGGAAGGATCACCCGGATCACCCATTGCAGTTGTGCGGCCATCTTGATCTGTATTTGGAAGGTTCGCACATCGTAGTTTTGTGTCCCCTGAATGCTGCAATGTTTGGAGAGATACAATGACTACAACGACCCCTGTTCAGCCAGTGTGCCTACAGCTAGACCCTGAACACTGGCGGGTATCGGTGTGTCCTTTCTACAAACATGAGCAGGGTATCAAGTTTTAAGACATCCCGTTGACGCCGTTGGCTGAATAGAGTAGAGTGTGTCCTCGGTCCTCGTCTATGGAGGGAAGATCTGGTCTATGCAACGTCTAAGCCAACCGCAGATTTTACTTTTGTTTACCTAACGGTTTGCAGGACATGTTTTTGTTTTTCTGCGCCATGTTGCCGTGCGTCAAGTAAACCCTTGATTCGGTGCACAGGCTAACTTGGCGCATCTTTCTTCTATTTCCCAGGAATGGCGCCTCGCTCCAGTGGAGGAGATGCGTGTTCGATGTTACCTGATAGCTTTCGGGTGCTGTCCGCGGCAGAGGCAACGACCCATTTGGGCGATAAGGAGCTCGGCCGAGGGATAAACGAGATTACGCAGATGAAGGTCTTTTTCTGCAAGTTCGCCATGGCCAACATGGTGTTCTCTGCTGTTGAATTCACTTCCCGGAAGTCCCGGCAGACTGTCATCAAAGCCGTGAAAGGAATGCTGCTTCTTTCAACATGGGCAGAGGCAGGCAGGCACAAAATGCCATAACCAGAAAGGTGCATGCTGCATGAATCAAACTGCCGGAAGGGAGAAATGACCAGTTTGGGAAAGTACGGGACGCTGTGGAAGCTAACGAATTTCAGTGAAATCTGTCTTATGTCATCAAGAACCAATATTATTCATGAATGCGGAGCATGTCGGTTTTCCGTTGTCTTTGTTTTTTCCATGAAAAAAGTGTTGCTTATTTAGGCGACCAGGGAAGATATACTTGTCAGGAGGTGTTGTCTAGGGAGGGTGCAAGTTGGACAAGGGTCTTCCTTATTTTCGGCTTGGAAATTGTAAGTTCGCGGATTCACACCTGAAAGTTCCAATCGCCGGGGAGTTGACGTGTGTGCATGATGCTGGCGCAACATCAGCCGGGCATGTAACTTACGAAAAGGATCCACATCCGGGCATTTGCATCTTGAAGCATTGCCTCTGAGTTTACATGGGACCCCTGCAACCAAGTCAAGGGGCCTCTTCGCCCCCTTCGAGACGGGTCCCTTTGAAGGAACCGCCCAGCTGAGTCGCCAGAACGCTCGAGGACCATCTCATGCGACTGCACATGCTTCCTCTTGAGAGGCAGCTGCAGGCCAGTTCGCGTGTTTTTTCGGCAACCTCAACAAGGAGTGGCCAAAATTAGGGCCCCTCCTTTACAAAGCAGTTTCTTCGGCGGCGCCGGGGTTTCGTTTCTTGCCACCTGGCCCCTTATTTTGAGTTGGTGAATTCTTCATTTACCAAGATTGTCGAATCTTTGGTTGTCGCCTCGCGGACAGTATCTCCGCCTACACAGTGTTCCCCAACCGACTGGTTGAAGATCGGAGGATCTCTAATGCCAGTCCAGAAACACCTGTTCCTTTATTGTGAACCATAAAGAGGAGTGTGGGGTGTCAAACATATGCTTGTCCCTGTCCTTGGTCTCCATGCTGCCCTCCAGATATTGGATGTTTCAACTTTGGAATGTGCACCTGTGCGTTTACATGTGTAGGTTCACTGTTGGTGCACACGCAAAGACCGCGAAATCCAGGATGCATGTCCAGCCGCAAAATAATCATTTGGACATTCCAGACTTTCATTTCACGCCAGACGTAAGGTTCGATGTAAATCATGTTCACCAAAAGGGCGATTCTTGGTGGTCCCATCCATTTGGTTCCTTCGGTTTTTAGTTTGTTAGTTGCTGTAGTGGTAGTTTCCGTTTGACCCACAAGTTGCCGACTTTGAGCAGATCTGAAAACGGACAGCCCAGCGTCCCTAGCGTAAAATCATAGCTATATGGCTATGGGTCAAAAATAGGTGCCCGACATGGAACCCGGGTAAATGGATTCATGGACTAAAAGCTGCGGTCCCCTGGTGGTTTAGTTTTGACCCATACCGACCCATATGGATCCGCAAGACACGTGTTGAACCAGATCCCCGTGAGGCGCTGCTGGGCATTGAGCGGGATATCGAGCGCAAGTGGTGCATTCTCCTGCAGCAGGCGAGGCCCGGGGTGCAGAGCTGGGGCAATCCGAAGTTTTCTCGGTGAATGCCAGCCATCCGGTTCCTTAGGTTTTTGTTTTTTTGGGGTTTGATGGTAGTGTCAATTAAGCCCATTAAAGGTTAAATTTTTAGCTGGGGATCTGAGGACAGCGCAGTTTTGGCAAGGGCGTTTTCGTTAGTTTCGAGCAGAGCCGTAAAATGCTAAGGCCGTGTTCGCTAGTTTCAAATTTAAGATCCCGGAGCTAAATATCGGTCCGTTGTAACTAGTCTCATAGGTCTGGCTGAACTGTGGGGAGGGTGGCTGCACCTTGGAGGTTGATCCTGGAGAGCTGGTTTGATGCTTTGTTTATAGATGCGCTTGTCCCTGGCAGGATCCCCTTCATCTTGTCAGCAGCATCCTCATAGTAGTGCAATGGCCGGGAGTTGGCCATGTAATATCATGTAATTATTGATAAATGCCTTCACACATAGCATTGTCCAGCAATTGAACCAAATCAAGCACCCATTTGATGTGGAACTGGATAGAGGAGATTCCTTGACACCAGGGCGTGTTCAGTTGTGTTTTTGAGGGTACTTTGTTTGCTCAGCTTCTATGCGAGTGGGCAGGAGAAGCAACTCCAAAGCTATAGGGCCCCGTTTGAACACAAACACCAAATAGTTTGTTGCTACTACGACCCGAGACCCTCAACTTGTGCGGTTTTTCGCTGTGTTTCCATTTACACCCACAAAAAAGAACCCCTTAAACAGGACACCCAAAAAGGGGAACAAGCACAAGGTCACTGCTTCTAGTAGGTAAATCACTGCCTGTTGCCTCAAGGCAAGTAGCAAGTCCTCCCGCGCAGTGTTGACCTGACAGGTCTCAAAGCAGGAGCGTAGCCTGAACCTTAGGTGAGGGAAGCCTGATTGGTATTGGGTTGGATCTTTAGACTTTAGACTCTAACTTTTGGGAAAGCAAGGGTTTTCCATTGAACCCAGGGGTTACCACCGACCAAGGAAAGATCTTCGTTTGTCTTGGTCGGGATTCAAGACGAAACGCCGGCATCGTCACGCCGTCAATGGCAAGGACGACAATCTGATACAAGCTAAATGGACGCTTGATTTTGATCCGTCGGAAAAGGTACTCGAAAAATCACAGCTCACCTTGGCGCCCCTATTCGGGGCTTGCCTACTGTAGTCATTTACCTGGCTCATGTGGGCTGCAAATCTATCAACCTTGGACCCAGGGATACTAAATCCTGACTGCGGCCACCCACTTAGGCAGCGCCCAAACCCCCCGTTGCCATGATCATGGTAGGTTGTTCTGCTACCTCGTTGTTCAAAATTATAGCGAGGCTTATATATAAACCTTTATGCCCGTCTTTCTAGAATCAAAAGTAAATGGGTTCTGGGCGCCGCTCACTTGATCTGGCGCCTTCAGAATTGGCACGCCTTGCCGCTGTTGCCCCGGGTTGACTTTCCGAGTTAGTGGGGTTGATTCGCTCGATAGTGTATAGGTGCAGTGAGACTCACGATGTATATGACCTCCATGCATTTCTGCCGGCACACCTTGGTGTTTGGGGAGGATCGTCACGCGCGCTTGCCTGAGCATTGGCGCCAATAGCCCCGAGGCCAGCAACTGCGGGAGTTCTTGAACTTTGATGAGCGCCTGAGGTCGGTTCGGCATGGCATCGTGGAGGTGTTGTTCAACGGAGCCTTGATATCAGGTGTCCCAGTTCCACAAGCCATGGACATGTCCTCCAATCTTAGGCTCCGAATGTGGCCGTCGGGAATATGCCAACAAACAAACCCTGCTTGCATGTGACTGGGCGGCTGTGTTGTTTCCCATCAACATTGCTCGTTTCTGTGACTTCGGCTCCAGGATTTGTGCCTGAGGCGGCCACATCACACGGTGTGCTTCTGGCATTTGTCTTCAGCAAACAAAACCGTCTAGAGCCATGCGCGAGGCGATCTGCATCCACATTGGCCAGGACCAAGTGAGCAACCATTTGGTAGTTTGATTTGCTATTGTCCAAGACGAGTTTCCAAGTTGACCCAGATTGTGGTGCGTGCATCTTATAAATATTATATATGTATATATGATGGGACCCCCACGTGCGCCCGCACGAAATGCCACATTTCATGAGTTGTTCCACATGAGACATGTTGTATTCTCACACCGGTTTTTTGCGTTTCATGCATGATGTCATGTTTGTAGCAAGATTGTGTTGCTGTTGGAAGATTGTTGTTCCACATTATTTGCAGGAAGGTTGTTGCTAAGCTGCTTGTAGTATGTAAGGCTCACAAACAACTGTATAGACGACATGTGCGGGGCTACTTTAAGGAAATTTAGAACTTGTGGTTCATAAAAGTAATGTTTTTAATTTGCGCCCTCCTTACAAAGCGTGTTGGGACACATATTGTGGGTGCCTGGGGGAGGCTGTCTTTCAGCTCCGATCGTTGGATAATTATCTTTGCTCGTAAGGCTTGAGACAATTCTCTTCTCACTCTGTTTTCTCTATCTGTCTCTTCGCTCTTTGTTGTTTTTTTCTGTATTTCTCCACCATTGTATATTTGCCTATCTTCGGGGGTCATAAGATTGCCCGGCAAAGGCCTCTGAATGCCTTGGATGTTGAATTCCATGGATCCAACATCCGGGTTTAAGTTTCCAAGTCCAGCATTCATATTTGTTAGTTTTAGGGTCTGCATCCAATATTTGTCTAAAGCAAATCCTGAACATCTTGGCTATTCTTGAGCCCAATTCTATTTCTGGGAATTTAGACCTGGATTTGTAAATCCAAGGATGTAGGTTTTAGCATCCTGAAGGGTTCTTTCAAGGCGACCCTCTTTTTGTTAGGGTTGGCTCTTGTGGGAGGTAGGGTGCTATGGCCTTTTGGACTGGAGGGCGCTCTACCGCCTGCAAGTTATGGGTGTTATCAGAAGCAAGAGCTTCTTAAATTATTGACCGCCGACACATCATCCTAGATTGATAGAGTGCCACTACTGTAGGGTGAGTGGGTGCTGCAAATTTGCATGTCCGCGCCTTTCTGAACTGGCAGATGGACATCTTGAATCTTGGATCCAGGGATCTAAATCCAATTTGGATTTCTAGATCCGGGATTTAGATTGAGGATTGTAGGGTCTAGTTCCGAGATTTCTCTGAAAGTCTCCTGCACACCTTGGGCTTTGGGTCCATTTCTAAATCTCAGGATTTTGCTCTAGATGTCAAAGCCCTCAGAATTCAGATTTCTAAATAGAGGCATCTTTTTTGCAACCAGAGCGTTTGTAAAATGATCTAAGCCTTGACAAGTGGTTGACGCGGGCAGGAGTTGCAGTTGTTTTTTTGCAGATTTCTGGTGCTACTTTTGATCAACCATTCAGACCATAGGAATGAACTTGGTACATATGTTGGAATCTGAGCAAAACCACGGATATCTGGGTGTGGGGGTACTAGCATAAGTATACATACAAACAGATGTGTGTATATATATAGATTAATGTTTAAGTCCCGGATGCCACAGGAAGAGTCTTTGACAACGGTCCGTAGTATGTGTTGCTTGAGGTACCTCCAAAAAATGCATTGGGTGTAATAGCCAACATGTATGACGTCGGTCAACTCACCACCAATGCACCAGGGTGGCGTGCAGATTGGCAACGCCTGCTGGGAGCTGTTCTGCTTGGAGCATGGCATCCAGCCTGATGGTCAGATGCCTTCGGACAAGACTATTGGTGGCGGCGATGACGTATCACTCCTGATATGGGAAAACTGGGTTAGTTACAAAATTATAGGTTTCTTTGACACATGTCTACCATGCATTGATCGGGCGTCAGTTTCAATATTAAATTATTGCATAATACTTCGCAAATGGTTGACCAGAACAAGTTGTGCATGTACATTTAGCAAGCATACTGGGCACTGTCATATCATTGCCCTCAACAAGCAAGGCACCTTGATTATGAATGTAGAACATATGGCACGGGGCACATTCTGGAGACAACTGCAACTGCTCGCTGGCTTGTGAACCTTTGTCGCTGAGGCATTTAACACGTTCTTCAGCGAGACTGGAGCTGGGAAGCATGTGCCCCGCTGTGTCATGGTCGATTTGGAGCCGACCGTTGTTGACGAAGTGCGCACGGGCACTTACCGTCAGCTCTTCCACCCAGAGCAGCTTATTTCCGGCAAGGAAGACGCGGCGAACAATTTCGTGCCTGGGCGGCTTTAGTTGGCAGTTGTGTTTTGTAGCTGTAGCTGTAGCAGTAGCACTAGTAGTAGTATTAGTAGTAGTAGTAGTAGTAGTAGTAGTAGTAGTAGTAGTAGTAGTAGTAGTAGTAGTAGTAGTAGTAGTAGTAGTAGTAGTAGTAGTAGTAGTAGTAGTAGTAGTAGTAGTAGTAGTAGTAGTAGTAGTACTATTTTTTGGTCTCCTGGCGTGGCGAAGGAATAGCGCATTGCAACTTGTGAGTCGCTATATGGCAATTGTGCTCATGCTGTGTGTGGCCAGATTTTGCATCCGCGGTTTCCCGCATGTGTCATTCACTACACTTGCCTATGTGTGCTCATGCGCCTGTGCCTTTGCCTTCGCTAGGTTTTCTTCCCACTTGCCCTACCACTCTGTGCGGTATCCCTCTCATGCCACTTTCCGTAGCAAGTGTCGTGCTCCCTGTTGGCCCTGGCTTTCTGGGCCTGTGCTCGCCTGCCTTCACTGTGTGGCCTCTTCGGCCCGCCGTGCTGCAGTCATGCGCATCAAGGGACCTTGGCAAAGGGGTGCCTTCAGGGGGCGGTGCGGGCTCCAGAGCAACTGCGCGCAAACGCTCCGAGAAGCTTGCTGCCTTGACTACAGTCGTTGGGCAGCTCGCTCAGCAAGTGCAACAGCTACAGCAGTGGATGCGTAGCGACTCGCCCCAAGACCTGCCAGAACTCGCCTGGGGAGCCTAAGCGACAAAAGATTAAGCCCAAGAAGTTCCCACCTACCTGTGGTTCGCCTGGGGGCCTTCTTGGTGACCTGGTTTCCGCCTGTGCCCACTGGCAGAACGCAGGGCGCCAGCCCACTGAGGAAGAGCTCCGGATCCAGCTGAAACAGATCTTGGAGAACCTCACACGCAGCCTAAGGTCCCAGACCAAGCACCTGTGACGGCCAAGCAGGCCACCAAAGACACCAGCGCCCCTCACGCTCCCGTGACATGGGCTGACGTGGTCAAGGGCCCCAAAGTGCCTGGTGATAGCCCACCTCCCTTAACCCCTAAGCCACCCGCGCACAAGCGGTTGTACGCGCCTGCCTGGCCAGCCACTGTGGTTGCTGCTAAGACAGTCAACACGCACAAACTTGGCGAGGACATCGTGGTCCCCTGCCATGAAAGCACGCGGCTTCACTCACCATGCCACCTTCGTCACATACCAGGCCGATGGTGCGCGACGCCGCGCCTGTTCAGGCCGGCCTTCCCACTCAGCTCACTGATGACAAGGCCCTTCCGGACCTTTCCGAACGTTCCACTACGCTTCTTCGTGTAATCCTCGCTCGGGATTACGCGGACCCTGGCAGCGTGCTGAACCGGCCTCACTGCCTACCGGCAGTGGTCATGCCCTCTGTAAAGGGTTTGATCCTCCAAACACGAGCGGCCCTGGCACACGAACGCGAGATCACTTGCCTCGTCCGCGTAGAAACTGAAAACTTGGCAGTCCTCAGCACCGCCCTGCCCACGGGCGTTTTCTGCAATGTGCATAAAACTGACAAAAAACCCGTGTGGTTTCGTAGGGACTCGTCCCAAAGCTGTGCCTGCTACTGGACCACTGTCACTGTCACGCAAAAAGTGCACGTCTGCCGGTCCTCTGCCACTGCCCCGATCGGACTGGTTGATGGCGCGACTCCCGGCAATGGTATCGCCCCTCATTGGTACTTGTCACAAGCTCCCGATGCTTGGAGTAGCTGAGTAGCTTAGACGTCGAAGACTGCACTCCGCAGGGCCGACACAGGACTTGGTTCTTTCGTGCCGTGAAGGGGACTGCTCCTAAAAAGCCCAAGAAGGAAGCTTCGGCTACGGAGCCTGGCGGTGACCTCTTCGAAGTCATCCCCAATGGAGGAGCAGGTGACTGCGGCTAGCTTGCTATAGCGCAAGCTCTCAACCACAGGCCAGCAAGCCTGCCAACAAAAGGCTGACGGAAAGGCCGGCTGCAGGCCCGGCTGCAGGCCCAACTCAGAGTCCTAGCCTCCACTGAGCTTAAACGCAACCCCGACAAGTACCTCTTGCCTGACGATACCACCTTGCCGGATGACACTCTCAAAGCGAGCCTGCTCGCCCTGTGTAACACCTCACACCTCGACATGCGTATCTTCGCATTCAATGGGACTTCTACCATCTAGCTCCCGACACAAGCAAGCCTAAGGTGCCTCAGATGATCTATCTGAAACTGATGGCGCAACACTACGAGTGGCTCAAGCCTCGCGCTGAGCTTCCTTCAGACACTGTGAGCACCAGGCTGAAAACAGCCAAGCTGCAACCCTTCAGCCTTCACGAAACCGGTTCCAACTCCGGGCTTGACCGAGAAGCTCTTGCCCAGATGGGTCTGGAAAGCCTAAGAGTTTCCAGTGCAAACTCCCGCACGGCTAAAAGCCGTAAGACTGGCCACTCCGAGATGTCTCTTCTTGGTTTGAAGCCTAAAAAGACCCCTCGCTCAGAGG